ATCCGCCCGCCTCGGCCTCCCAGAGAGCTAGGATTACAGGCGTGAGCCACCGCGCCCGGCCACAGATAAGTCTTTAATGTGAGGTTTCTGGGGACATCTCTGGAAACCTACACCTCTGAGCAAATAAAAGTCAAGTGATTTTGAAGATAGATACTCTCAATTGCCAAGGCAAGGAATCAAGAAAATGGGCTACAAGCCTCCACACAGCCCATATTAACCTGGCTGTCACCCAGTACGGTGACTAAAATGTGATTAATACCTTCCTCATATAAGATGAGCTATTGTTGAATTGTATCATGGAATCAATCATTCAACTCCAACTCTAGATTTTATTGTCCTATCACAGATCTCTCTTCCCAACTGAAAAGTAAACTATGTCATGAGGTCTTTCTCCACTCCTGTCTGCTGTGCTTGAAAGGAAATGGGAGAGCCAGTACAGTGGCTCACACCTGTAATCCTAGCACTCTGGGAGACCAAGGTGGGAGGATTGCTTGAGCTCAGGAGTTTGAGAACAGCCTGAGCAAGAACGGGACCCCATCTCTACAAAAAATAGAAAAATTAGCCAGATGTCATGGCATGTTCCTATAGTCCCAGATACTTGGGAAGCTGAGGCAAGAGGATTGCTTCAGCCTAGGATTTGAGGCTGCAGTGAGCTGTGACTGATGCCACTGCACTCTACCCAGGGCAACAGAGCGAGACTCTGTCTCCAAAACAAAAAGGAACTGGGACAAGTGAATGTTTTCCTAATCCTTATGTTAATTGGATTTTTCTCATATATTAATAGTATGAGTTCTTTCATGTTTTTGACAGGAACTGGAACGAACGAAGGCTTTTCCACATTCCTTACATTCATAGGGTTTCTCTCCAGTGTGAATTATTTCATGTATTCGAAAGTTTGTTGAAGATGTAAAGGCTTTATCACAATACTTACATTTATAGGGTTTCCCTTCAGTGTGAGCCCTTTCATGTCTACGAAAGGAACTGACATAATGGAAGGCTTTCCCACATTGCTGACATTCATAGGGCTTCTCTCCGGTGTGCATTCTTTCATGTATTCGAATGTACTTGGAACAGCTGAAGGCTTTACCACAGTGCTTACACTCATAGGGTTTCTCCCCAGTGTGCGTCCTTTCATGTATCCGAAAGGAAGTGGAACAACTGAAGGCTTTCCCACATTGCTGGCATTCATAGGGTTTCTCTCCAGTGTGAGTTTTGTCATGCTTTTGTAATGATCGGAGAGAATAAAAGGCTTTCCCACATATCTGACATTTATAAGGTCTATCTCCAGTGTGTATTCTCATGTGACATTCAAAGCTTACACGATGAGTAAATGCTTTCCCACATTCCTTACATTCATAGGGTTTTTCTCCAGTGTGAGTCATTTCATGACTGCGAAGGGAACTAGGACAGTTGAAGGCTTTCCCACATTCCTTACATTGATACGGCTTCTGTCCCGTGTGAATCCTTTCATGTCTATGAAAGGAACTGTAATGAATGAATTCTTTCCCGCATTCCTTACACTGATAGGGCTTCTCTCCAGTGTGAGTTCTTTCATGTGCTCGAACAGAACTGTACCAACCGAAAGCTTTGCCACATTGTTTACATTTATATGGTTTCTCTCCAGTGTGAATTATTTCATGTATAAGATATAAACTGAGAGAAGCAAAATGTTTTCCACAAAACTTACATTTATGAGGTCCGTCTCCACTATGCTTTACCATGTGTCTTCGAAAGTCTATGAGAGAAACAAAGGTTTGTCCACATTTCTTACAATCATAGGGTTTCTCTCCAGTGGGAGGCCCTTCACGTGTTCGAAAGGAGTAGCGGTAACTGAAGGCTTTCTCACGTTGCTTACGTGTGTATGGCTTTTTTCTGTATTTCTGATACTCATATGGTTTGTGTCCAGTGTCAGCTCTGATGTGTGTATTCAAAGATGAATGACCAGTGGACACTTCTCCACACACACTCCTTTCACAAGGTTTTACTCCAGGAGTTTTCTGGTTTAGGATGCGATCTGGAACCTGGCTGAAGCTTGCTCCACACTGACTACTTTGTTGACTTTCAGTGCGCCTCTCTCCCATAAGACTTCTGTAGAAAATGAGAAGCACATTATTACTGGTTTATTTATACATGATTTCATATTTGTTAATAAGTGGCACTTGCATTTTTAACATTATCAAGGACAGCGTAGGCTTTCTTCTCTTTCTGGATTATTTGAACATGAATGGACAATAAGCTCTGCAAGCTGTACCTATTATCAAAAAATAATATTCATATGGCATTGCATAATACTATTATCAAGTAAATTCACAGACATTAAACATCTTTGTTACATTTAAGTATGCATTTTTAGAGAAAATTTTCTGAGAATAATTTGACCCTGGGGTTATTTGTTTTGTTTGCATGTTTTTTAACATTTTCTGATATTCTAAAATTTTCTTCAAAGACATTGCTTTGTCCTGTGAGTGCAAATTACCTTAGATTTCTCCTGGGATTTTTGTACTGATCTTCAATGTTCTGGTCTTTCCATTTTGTCCCTAAATTGCAGACCCAGAAAAATAGTCATGAATTATTATAAAATTATGAAAAAACTACTAGATTTTATGTTGATGGTACATGCAGCAATGCCTGATTTATTCAAAGTATTTTATGTCCATATTCCAAATCACAAAACAGCATTGATAAACAAGAAACTCTGTTCTCTAATTCGCTGAGTGAAGGAATATCATCACCTTACCTACAGAGGCCAGGTTCTTCAAGGTTTCCTGCATTACATCTCTGTACAGATTCTTCTGGGAAGGATCCAGCAAAGCCCACTCGTCCAGGGTGAAGCTCACGGCCACATCCTCAAAGGCCACCGAGTCCTGAAACATCCCACATGTGTAGAAGATAATGGAGACTGACAGCACTGGGGACATACACTCTACTGGTAACAAGTTTACATGATGGTGGTGACTCCAAGCATTTATTCCATGATTTTCTCAGACTCTTACTCTCTTTCTATACCCATGTCCTCTCATACAGCGGTTCTGGCGCTAGTATATAACTGCTGGGTAGAGCAACAGCGAACAGGAAATCATGTCTTATTGGTGAATCCAGGGAGAAAGATGTGCTGCCAGGGTCACCCCTAATGCCTCTTTGTACGGTGAATCTGCAGCACATGTTATAACAAAGTCCCACTAATTAGTGTGCAGAAAAATGTTAGCATTAGCAATCCTGAGACTGTATTCTTGAAAATGCTGGTTTCTCAGGATTAGGAAGTAGACATTTTAAAAAAAGAAAAGAAAAGAAAATGCTTGTTCACAAAGTTAAACCTTTCATGGTATTTTGGATGAGACCCTCCTACCCAACTGCGAAGAGTCATAACTTACTGAAACAGAATCCCATGAGCAGAACCTTTTGTGGGAAACAGTACTGAAGTTAGAAAACCTAAATTTTAATTGATGAATTGCTGAGGGCCAAATAGAGAGAAGGTGAAAATTGCAGCAGGCCCAGTCTTAAGATTATCCAGGCATGGTCACGCACACCTGTATCGCCCACTGCTGGGGAGGCTGAGGCGGGAGAATCACTTGAGTCCCAAGAGTTCAAGGCTGCAGTGAGCTATGATAAAACCACTGCACTTCAGCCTGGGCATCAGAGTGATATTAAGTCTCGTGAAAGAAAAAAACAAAACAAGTATGTTTAAAAATGTTTGTGCTGCATCAGAGTACAGTATGAACAGAGGGAAAAAGGCAAGCCATGAAATCGCAGAAAATATTGACAAATCATGTCTCTGGAAAGGTCTTTTTTTTTTTTTTTTTTTTAAGACAGAGTCTCACTCTGTTGCCTGGGCTAGAGTGCTGTGGCATCAGCCTAGCCCACAGCAACCTCAAAACTCCCAGGCTCAAGCGATCCTCCTGCCTCAGCCTCTCAGGTAGCTGGGACTACAGGAACGCGCCACTGTGCCTGGCTAATTTTTTCTATTTTTAGTTGTTTGGCTAATTTCTTTCTATTTTTAGTAGAGACGGGGTCTCGCTCTTGCTCAGGCTGGTCTTGAACTCCTGAGCTCAGGCAATCCTCCCGCCTCAGCCTCCCAGAGTGCTGGGATTACAGGCGTGAGCCACCGCGCCCAGCCTCTGGCAAGGTCTTAATATGAAGAACACATAAATAACACCCATGACAACTACAAAAAAATAAAAATCAAGGATGTCTTATCCTGGAACCAATCTCACTGTTGAAAGTGTAACAGTAACAGTCACTCCATCTTAATGCTAACTAGTAATTTTTTCTTTTACAAAGCCTAATTGTGTGCTTGCTTAGTAAGTCCAGAAACTGGCCTTGAGCAACTAACTATAGAACCAAGGTTGTGGGACTCCTCCCCTCCCTGCTGGAGAAAAATGCTGAACAGTTAACCTTCAATTCTGTTATGTCAACCATCAGAACAAGACATACCGACCTGCACGTAGCCAGCCCCTCCCAGGCCTCCGTCCCCTTTATAAGCCCTTTGGTCAGCCTGAGAAATGTGACCCAGCTTTTGCAACATGAGTCCACCATCTTCTCAGGTTGCCAGCTCTTCAATAAAAGGTGCTTTTCCTTTCACCAACTCTCCTCTCTCAAGTTTGGCTTTCGAGTGGTGAGCAGCTGATTCTGCACTGGGTTAGAAGTTTCTGGATCCACAAAGTGAGGTTGAGTGTTTCGGATGGTTTTAACTGGCTGCAGCAGAGCAACAGTCACCTGTAAGCACCAGCTGCTCATGGCTAACTGCCCCTGAGGATGGGAATCCAAGAATGTCCCAGCAGCTGCCAAGAATCTTTTCATCTTGGGGTAATTCTCCTTTCTGTCCCCTTCACAGAATCAGCTGCCTGCAACACTTTATTGGTGAAAGGAAAATGGTAATTGGCCAGTCGACAGACTCAATTTGGAATTCGTAGGGTAAGTCGCTCCAGTGCATCCAACTGGGAACTCCCTTCCCTTCCATTTGGGGTTTTTCCTTGGAATAAGCCACTCTGTTCTTATTCCCGTTGGGGTACCCTGTTGGTCAGGGGAATGGTTGTTGGACTTTAACCTGATTTGTGAACCAGTTCATTTGCACTTGCTTGATTTGGTGTTCCCTGGGCTTCTGTTTGAAACTTCTTGTTTTTATTGGTGTGTGGCATGTAAATATGCTGACTATGAGAAAGGTCAAAGTGATGCCAAGTTTTGTAGGACTCCTGCTAGTTACATATTATGGCCTATTCTTGTGTACGTGTTTAAACACGTACATTATATCAAGGAAAATTCAGAGGTCAAGTGATCACTCCTGCCACAATGGAGTTAAAATGTAGAGTATGTTATGCTATTTTCTTTTCTACTTTAAAACTACAGTTGCTAAGCTATCAGTGTTTGAGATAAAACTGCTAATTCAAGGCTACTTAGTGGCTGAAGCTTGCTCCACACTG